ACATTTGCTAAGCCAAGTAAGATAGATATTTTGCTTGGAGCCGACGTCTATCCTGAAATAATAGAAGTCGGATTACAAAGGATGCCAGATGGCTTAATTGCACAACAGACTACCTTAGGATGGATTCTATCTGGAAAGAAGAATATAACACAATCGACTAAAGAAAAAAGAATAACAAGCTTACATATTACTAGAATGGTTGCAGAAGATAATGATTTGTTGAGAAGATTTTGGGAGATAGAAACGGAGAGTTACACAAAGAAACGAATATTTACAAAAGAAGAACAAGCCTGTGAAGAAATATACGCTAAAACTACCAAACGAGAAGAAAGTGGAAGATATGTCGTAGAATTACCTTTGAAGCAAAATCTAGAAGAAACAGTTAAACTGTGTGGAGATACTAAAGAGCAAGCTGTGACTAGATTTAAATACTTAGAACGGAAGTTTGAGAAAAATCCATATTTAAAAGAAGAATATACAAAGGTTATACAAGAATACCTAGATATGAATCATCTGCAGAAAATTGAAACTAAAGAAGATTATACTATTTACTTACCCCATCATGCTGTTATTCGCGAGGACAAAGATACTACGAAGGTTCGAGTTGTATATGATGCATCTGCAAAGGGTACAAATGGCTACTCGTTGAACGACATGATGATGGTGGGACCTGTCCTTCAGCCTGACCTTCGTAGTCTTATTATTTGTTGGAGGAAATATAAAATATGTATTGTCGGAGACATTGTCAAAATGTATAGAATGATAAAAATAAACGAAGAACACTCGAATTTACAATGCATAGTATGGCGTGATAATCCCGACAAACCTATTGAAAGTTACAAGTTAAAAACAGTTACATTTGGAACAGCAGCAGCCCCTTATTTAGCTGTTAGAACATTAAAACAACTCACAATTGACGAAGAATTAGCTAAGCAACATCCAAATGCATCGTATATCATAAATAATTGTTTCTACATGGATGATCTTATGGTGAGCCTAAATGAATTAGATGAAGCGAAGGATACCTGTAAAATAATAGAGAAAATATTAGATAAAGGAGGATTTAAAATGCAAAAATGGTCAAGTAACAATGAAGAATTATTAGAATATTTACAAAATGGAAAAGAGAATTTAATGGAAAATATAGAAATAAAGCTAGATAAAGTAATAAAAATATTAGGATTGTCATGGGATAGAAAAGATGATAATTTTAAATTTACAGTAAATTTACCTGAATTGACGACTCTAATAACGAAGAGATCCATCTGTCCGACGTAGCTCGTCTTTTTGATCCGTTCGGCTGGTTGTCACCTGTAATTATATCTGCAAAAATTATGATACAAAAGCTGTGGCTGTGTGACCTTGCTTGGGATGATGAATTACCTACGGACCTGAAAGAGGAATGGATAGAATATAGAAGGGGACTCACTTACCTGCAAAGGATTTCTATTCCACGATGGTTAAAGTTGTCACCAAATAACACGGATGTCCAACTTCATGGGTTTTCTGACGCCTCTTCTACATCCTACGCAGCATTGGTTTACCTAAGGGTCAAGGATAAGGATAACAAGATATACATTACCTTGATTGCGAGCAGAACAAAGGTGGCACCTCTGAAACAATTAACTGTTCCGAGATTAGAGCTTTGTGGTGCAGTTTTGTTAGCAGAATTAATAAATGATATTGCTGGCTTATTCGATTTATCAAAGGATAAAATATTCGCTTACACCGATTCAATGGTGGTTTTATCATGGCTGCAACATCAGTCCAACAGGTTGCGAATATTTGTTGCAAACAGAGTAACTGAGATCCTACGAATTTTAGATTGTGATAGATGGAGTCACGTTCAATCTAACGAAAATCCAGCAGATCTTGCTACCAGGGGTATTAACGCATGTGATTTGTATGACAATAATTTATGGTGGCAAGGTCCGAAGTGGTTGAAGAACGAAGAAGTAACTTTAAAGAGAATCATGATTCCATATACTAATTTAGAAATGAAAGCTTTATGTCACACTCATGTTACTACTAAACCAATTTGGGAAAGATTTTCGTCTATGTCAAGAATGAAAAGAGTTTTAGCCTATTGTAAAAGATGGAAAAAACAGAAGCATATAGAAAGAAGATCAGAGATTTTAACGTATTTAGAAATGGAAGGAATTATTTACAGTTGTATTAGATTTTATCAAGGCGAAGTTTATCACAATGAATTAGAAGATTTAAAAAGAATTAAAAGAGTTAAAAAAGGAAGTTCACTAGTCTCACTCTCACCGTTTCTAGATGCAAATGGCTTAATGAGAGTTGGAGGACGATTACAAAATTCTGAGATGTCTGAGTTCGCAAAGCATCCTATTATAATACCTGATAAGGTTCATATAACGCAACTTATTATAAAAGAAGCTCATATCAAGACATTACATGGTGGAATACAATTGATGATGACATACATTCGAAGTCGATATTGGGTAATAGGTTTAAAAGCGTCGATCAAAAAATATGTACGTAAATGTAAGATATGCATCATTGATAAAGCAAAGGTTAAATATCAACTTATGGGACAACTACCAGCAGAAAGAGTAACGCCACATCGCCCTTTCCTAAATAGTGGAGTTGATTTCGCGGGTCCTATATTCATACGGACATCAAAGGGCCGTGGTCACCAATGCACTAAGGGCTATATATGTTTATTTGTGTGTATGGCCACACGCGCTGTTCATCTAGAAGCAGTAACTGATTTGACTTCTCAGGCCTTTATTGCAGCGTTTCGACGATTTGTTGCACGCCGTGGTCATTGCGCTCACATTTGGAGTGACAACGGCACCAATTTCGTTGGTGCCGCCAAGGAACTTAAACAACTATTCGAAAGAAGCAAGCGCAATGACACAATTAATATAGCAGAAATTTTAGCCAACGATGGAACAACTTGGCATTTTATACCTCCCAAGATGCCAAGCTACGGTGGTTTATGGGAAGCTGGGATTCGATCTGTAAAACGTCATCTTACACGAGTCAATAGTAACTCGAAGCTAACATATGAAGAAATGTCCACCTTGCTCGCACAAATTGAAGCATGTCTCAATTCACGTCCGCTCTGTAAACTTGACAATACAGTGGAAACTTTGACACCATTAACACCATCTCATTTTCTTATTGGAGAGCCTTTAATTGGTGTTCCGGATGAGGTATATGAAGGCAAGAAAATCAACCTATTGACGCGTTGGCAGGTAATTCAGAAAATGACACAGGACTTCTGGAAACGCTGGCATGTCGAATATCTTAATACATTACAACAAAGATATAAATGGCAAGTACCAGTGGACACACCTAATATAGGAGATATTGTTATTATTAAAGAAACTGATATGCCCCCAACAAAATGGCTACTGGGAAGAATAACGGCACTTCATCCAGGTTCTGATAAATTAGTCAGAGTTGTGACATTACAATGCAAAGGCAACAAAGAAATAAAAAGACCTGTTTTTAAACTCATACCATTGCCAATAAATGAAGACGATTAATTATATATACTGAATGGTGGGCGGCTCATTTTCCATAATTATTTGTTTATTGATTTATTGAGGTATACATATATTTATAAACTGTGTTTTTAATTTATACAAAACTTTTATAATTTGCATATATGTAATGTTTTCAATCTGTACAAATCAACTTTTACTTTGTTAGTATTATATAAACTTATTTACAGAGATTAATGATGTTTTACAGTCTTTAAAGCTTATTTACTAATTATTTAAAATTTATTGAAGTAAGGAAATTATTATAGATGAAGTTATAGTTTTTTTTTTGCATGTATTCGTAATTTGTTATTTATTGTTTATTTGAAAACTGTTAGTTTTGGTGGGCGGTATGTTTAACTAATGTATTAGAATTACGCTCTTATATCTACATATTGTAAATATATCTTATGAGTTAGTTGCAAATTAAACGCAGTACGATACACACGCTTGTTTCCTTTCACTCGCATCGCTAAGTCTATTCAAGCAATAATACACCTTAACGCAATAAACACGCGGGATACAAAATATAACTGGATTATGTTGACATTTTCTTATTTGAGTGAAATGGGATCTATTGCGAAAAGTTTATTTATCCCAAAGTGTTTTCGTTGATGTGAAGGTTTTGTCAAATATCTTATATTGAATAGCCATATATACTGGCCCTTCTATTGATTTGTTTAAATTTTATTTTGTTAAGGATTGTATGCTTTTACTGAGTAATTATTGGTAGAAATATTCGTAGATTTACGTACAAAAAGTCTGGAATGATATAAAACATTTTATTGTTCGTGATAAGCTAATTTTATAAGCTAATATTTTTCTATAATAAAGTATTTTATTTAGAATAAGTAAAATTACGTTTAATTTTGTTCTTAGTTTGGTTTTAAATAAAGTTATGAATCTTATCTCCTAAGACAACTAAGTGTTAGGAGTCGACCCATACTCCATTTATCCAAACATTGCTCCCTAGCAGAACGACATTACAAAGACACACTTAGGTATATACTTTTATATACATATATATTATACTTTCGAATTCATATAATTTTTTATTTATTTCATATAATTTTTGATTTGTTTTTCTAATGTAAAATTAATATTAATTTCTTAATATAACCCTCCTCGTTGGTTTAGTGGCTATGGTATACAGTTATTACAGATAAGAATGACTTGAGTTCGCGTCTCAACTCTCAAAAGCCGGTAAATTCGTCGGTCTTGCGCCTCATTTCTCACCGGTCGTTTCGAGTTTTCACCAGACTTTGAGTGTGAACGGAAGAGAGACTGCACTTGTTAGCAAACATCTGTGCTCTACAATATCTCCTGTAATCTACAGCTCATAAAAAAAGTCTGTGGTGTTCATATGAATCTAAAAAAATTACGTCCTGCGCTCATGGCTTGATCAGTAAAATAGTATAATTGCCCGCTGTGACTGAAATCGGTTAAGTGTTTTCAATGCGTTTTTTTTTTATAATAACAACTTACCAATATATGTACACAATGTGCAGCTATCACCGCCACTATAAATGTTCCAATGCAGCCGGGTATAATTCCAGAATGTTTGAATGCTGCCGGCATGGCTAGTAAACCCGATCCCAGTGAAGATTTAAGCAAGTGAAAGAAGGAGCCTAGTGTCCTGCGAAAGAATAAAAATAACGAGAAAATGAGGGTGCACACATAACGTTACTACGCTTATACTATTTTTTTTTAAAAAAAAATATTCTAATGGTATATGTATATTAAAGATATGGAAAATTCGTGGAATACACTGATTTTATGAATATATAATTCGGTTGAGCAAATATTTATCCTACTTCAGCATAGTCATTAAAGAAAAAAAAATCTTTGTAAAAAAAGAGTCTTTTTCATATTGTTATTAAAAAATAAAGCAACTATAAGCTGTTATAGAAAAAAAAATATTCGTAGACCCAAACAGAAAAATTACAGTTTTATTTATTTCTATCTTTTAAACTATTATATTGGATAATTATCATCTTTATAACAATATAATTAATTAGTTCTTATTTTTATGTACAACTAGTGACTCGCCCTCTCGTCGCTCAGATTCGTCTCTAGGTACACTTTGACGCTTAGTATGGAACAGATCTTTTTTTTTCAAATTTTAAAACGTGAATTTTCCGACGTTTTCATACTTATTCTGCTGTTCGGGGTGAAGAAAAATCCAACAAAACAAAAATTATAAGAATCGATCCAGCAGTTCTCATGTTATTAGTGCTGTAACAAACCCGACTTTGTTTTATATTTATTATGTATTTAGATTTATTCCATGTTATTGCATTGCTCAAGATCAAGGTTGATCGAGGTTATCGGGGCATCGTGGTTGAGTGCGTAAGCGATCCTGTAATGCTGCATTAAGACGGGGAGGGGAAGGGGGTGGGGGTTTTCTATTAGGATTTAGTGGGTAGTTTAACTGGCTTCTCTAGCCGGTGAACATCACATAACGACTTATATACATATACATATAAATATGATATGTATAAATGCATGTGCCAACATAAAAAAAAAGTTGATCAAGGTTAGATTCAAGTTCTATAAACATCTTTAAATATATTCCAACAGTGTGCTCCTTTCGACAATTTAATATTTGGTCGGTGAAGGATTTTAAAGTGTCTTTGTGAAAATATAGAAATACAAAATTTTCGAACTTAAATTTGAATAAGAGAGATTTAGTTATGAATTTATTTTTATATCAATTTTTTTCTATTATATACTTTTTTTTAAAGAAAACCTTTTTGTTTCCAAGTCTAATTTGAATGCTTTTGTAAAATATTCTTTTTTTGAATCACGACGAAAAATTAATAACGACTAGGTACTTCTTGGTAACTTATTAAAATTCATGATTTTTTTTATTAAAAAATTCTTTTACTTAGAAAATTTGTAACAGCAATATTTCTGTAGAATATTAGAGGAAAACACAAAATAGATGGCTGTCTCGAAACTCCCTTGTCCAAGACTTATATTTAGACTTGTTTTATTTATGTACTCACTTTAATAAAAATCCAAAATACATCAATCGAGATGAGTTAAAAATAAAATAATATATACACTATCAATTTCTTATAAACCACTGTAAAAACTAAGTTATTATCTATGGGAGTTGTTAACTAAAAATTGTGCAATCCAAGTTATCAAAAAGACCGACCTCAAAAACCACTTTTTGTAGTATGTTCTTCAAACCAATTTTTTATAAAAGTGTCGTACGGTATTTTTAGCAGTAATTTGCAAAATACTAAACAGCTAACTTTTAAAAAATACGCTTCCTGTAAAAAGAGTCATAAAACTTATGATAAAAGTGTAAAAAAAAATTCCAGCATAACACCGTAAGCTTTATAGTTCTGTTTTTTAAAATACTACCGGAAGAGGAATGCGGAATGCAAGAATGCTTTTTGGTATTTCATACTACATATGTAGTGGAAAATACCGAGTATTAGAACGTATATCTACTATCTGAACAGTAAATATTTAGATTTCGTTTCAAATTTGGATTTTTTTGGATCCTTTTGTCTTTCTATAATTTGCAAATATAATCTACACATAAGTTATTGGCGACTAGCGGCTCACCCTCGCTTCACTCTACTTTAACTCTAGAAGTACAAAAACAAATCTATCCCACGGGAACCATACGCTTTCCCGAGATAAAAAGTAGCCTATGTGTTATTCTTATGTTTGAGCTATATTATTGTAAAGTTTCATTAAAATCCATTTAGTAGTTTTTGCGTGAAAGAATAACAAACATCCATACATGCTTACAAACTTTCTCATTTATAATATTAGTAGGACTAGTAGAATTATAATCGCTATTTTATGATTATCTCGTAGATCTAGTTACTGGTATGTACAGTTGCAGTTCGTGAAGATTCAGTTCGAATAACACAGAGCTTTAACACGATACGTCTTGGCTCCTTTAATACAAAAAAAATCTTGCTGTGAGATATCGGATCTACTTTTGAGAAACAATGGCAAATTGCTCAAATATCACCGGCAAATATAAAAAACGAAAAGACTATAGAAGGAAGCCTTTTCAATTCTCGTAACGTTGTCGAATGATGTTTTATTTCGGGTGCGTTTTCTTGCGTTAGATTTGCGTGATGGACCGTTTGTTATGCCTGCTGATACAGATTTTAAAATTATCTAATTAATTACACGTACTATTGAGTTATCACTTACTTTTAATTTCATTAAAGTTGATTTACTTTTCTTTATTTTTATAGTACAAGTTTTATGTATATTTGTATATTTATATTCATGTTTGAGTTTGTACCTCATTATTTTTATTTTTCACGCTCGAGGTTTTCTTGTAGAGATCACTTAAAGGGTTAAGTCATTTTTTGTACATAACTGTTATCTGTTTATATATGTATATATTTTTTCTATGGTAGGTGCATAAATAAATAAATAATCTGCACTAATATTAATAAGAACTAAAGTTGTAAATTTGTTACTCGGGATATAGGGAGTGAGTGAGTTGAATTTCAGATCTAAGAGAAGAAATACAAAAAAGTAAAAAATTGAGGAAAAGTGGAGTAAGTCAAAGTGTTAGTGTATGTAGTGGTGAAAAATAGTGCTCAGAAATTGAGTTATACCAGAACTTTGTACGTACTGCGTGTGTTTATGAACCGAATGTAGTAAAACAGAAAGCTTTAATTCACCCACAACTCATACAAAGTAACAATAATAATTTGACGACACGTTTGGCTCAGTTTGTAGTGATCCTACTTGCTGTGCCAGCGGTCAAAGGTTCGATTCCCGTTGGGGACATTCATTTGTTGTCACGAAGGTTTGTACTCCAGCCATGGGTGTGTATATTTATTTATTTATAATATACATATATTTAAAGTTATATATGTGTAGTGTATCAACTATCTGGTATCCATAACACAAGCCTCGTAGCTTACCATGGAACTAGATGGCGCTGCGTGTTAATGTCCGAAAATATTTATTTATTGAATATAAACATACGAGCATATATTAATATCTTTTGGCGTACTCTTCAATGTAACTTTTTGATGAAATAACAACTGATTAATTGTAAAAGATTTATTCATAAAGCATAATGTGAGTTAATGTAATACGACAAGCTATAATCGAACTTACGTCCCACTATCAATTTTTAGACGTTCATCGAACATTCATAATGTAAAACTAAATTGATTAGACAAATCAAAAAGCATTCATTATTTTCAAATTAATAACGCTCTTTCAGTTTTATTAATTCGCTTTACATTAAATAACAATTATGTATGTAATCAAGTCTCAGACATATTAACCTACTTCTAACTCGCGTATCTATTTAAAACTTTATATAAAATTCACATGACATTACCTTATTAGTTATTTGCCACCATCGAGTTTATATGATGACTAGCGACTCACCGTCTTCGCTCGGGTTCGTCCCTAGCTTGATTTCCCATACAAACTTTCATCCTCATTTTGGGGATAATTTCCGGGATAAAAAGTATCCTATGTCCTTTCCAGGGTATCAAACTATCTTTTTGTTACCAAATTTCATCTAAATCGGTTTAGTAGATCCAGAGATTACCCCCTCCTACAACATCACAAACTACCTTTTTATAATATTAGTATATATGGAATCATGATCTACGAGTATATAGTAAAACTAGCATTGCCCGCGGCTCCGCCCGCGTTCAGATGACCAAAAACCAAATTCTTAGGTTTTACATATCTATCTGTATTCACATATGTATACTCTTATATTGCAGTATTTGTATTTTTTTTCAGAACTGAGATATTTTACCGCGGTAAAAAGTATCCTATATGTTGACCTGGATAACTAGCTATGATCATACCAAATTTTATTAAAATACCTCCAGTGATTTTTCCGTGATGCAGTAACAGACAGACAGACAGACAAAAATTCTAAAAAGTATAGATTCAACCTTTGTATCGATAATAATGTCTATTTCAATAAGATTTTCCAAAAAATATTTAATGTACAGATTCGGCTTTGTTACAATTTTATTATATGTATAGATAATGCATTCTTTTATAAAATTTTAGTAACTTTGCGAATTTTGTTTCTGAGACTTTGTTTACTTGAACGCACTGATTTCTGGGTCTTTTAGTCCGACTTGAAAAAAAAATTTCGGATTTTTTATAATCTAATTAATGAGGAAAGTTATAAGTTATCACCGCATTAAATAATTATATATTTTTTTATAAAGATGTGTATCATATAATAAAATGTTGCAATTTTAATAATATATTATATACATTTTATAAACAAGTGCGAGTTGGACTCGCATACGCAGGTATCTGTTTTTTTTCGCGCCCCTTTAGTTATATGGGAGCCCCAATTAAAAACATTTAAAAATATTTTTTGAGTATCGGGTTTAGTTTAACAAGATACTTATACTGTGAAAATTTGAATATCGTAGCTCCAATCGTTTGACTGTAAAACTTGACAGACGACGAGCAGACGGACAGACGGATATGTGTGTGACAGTAATAGGGCTCCGTTTGGACCCTTCGGGTACGGAATCCTGAAAAGATATTGTGGTAGCTTTTTGGTCAACGCCATCTATCGTTATTTGTGCACAAAATTGTCTGAAGTATTACTCTACTTAAAACCATGCTAATTCTTTTGTATGGGATGGCAACAAGGTTACGAAGCATTTACGGTATTGCTTTGCAATTTTTTGTTTATTTAAGCTATTTTAAATGATTGGTTCTTCTGATTAATTTCAAAGTTCAAAGAGGCGGCCAGTTATTCAAAGACAAAATACACGGTAACGCTACGGTACGTTAACTGCCTCGGTGGTGTAGTGGCGTATCTACGTGTAAGTTGACTATGTTTCACCCCCGTGTCCCGGAGAGCACATAAAGCCATCGATCCCACACCTTAACTCTCAGAGATACTTCGTAGATGTATCGTCCCATCGGACTTAGTAAAATGAATAGAGAGTGCACGTTGTGTCTGCGCGTACACTTGTGCACTGTAATATCTCCTGCGCATCTGGCTTGTCTCAGTGAGATTGGCCGCCGTGGCCGGAATCGGGTACAAGGACATTATTTACAATACTACTAAACTATTCCAATGTACTTAAATTAAATATAAGCACTGATTTGAATACTCACGATGTAGGATGTGCTATGTTTCTGTGTTCAAATGGATTGTAATCCTCCTTCTCATCCACGCCGGCCCCATCAAGTGAAATTGTTGACTCCATTCTAAACTCGTCGTCATTTTTCTCTTCAATACTGCAAAATTTTATTAGATATTTATTATATATTTTCTAATTAAACATTTATAGGTAATACGTATTCTATGCTGTTATTTTATTTATTTGACCATTTTTTTTATTATAAAATTAATATTACAAAAGATATTTTATATAAAATTGAATTTTTATAAACTCATCTTCCAACCGATTTGTTTGGAAGGTTATTAAATATTGGATACGCTCTGATGGGTGTATTAATAGATATTAAAAGAAAAAGAGTAATTATAAACCGCTATTAAAATAAACCATTTTTTCATTAATGCTTGGGGCTAAATATATATTTTTAATTTAATTTTGTTAATATAATTTTAACTAAGCATACCTTTGGGAGTTATTAGTTCAACAGATTCTGAGTATATATTATTTGACAAACAGACAGACAGATCATAAGAGTTCCGTATATTTCTCTTTTGTTACGAAACCTTAAAAATGAATATCATTTAAGATTTAAATTTATGCTATAGTTATATATTTAAATAAATGAACAGGTCTTAGTAATTTTATTTGCACAGTAAACACATGGATAAGATTTTAAAACAGCTGAGAATGATTTACAAAGATATCGCATAAAATATAATATATAAATATCTCGTGTCACGATGTTTGTGTTCGCACTCCTCCGAAACGGCTCGACCGATTTTAATGATTTTTTTGTATATTTGGTAGGTATGAGAATAGGTCGTAAAGTATTTTTCACCCTCCTACCCCCACCCCAATTTTTTAACCGCCATTTTAGTATTTTTGTATGAACAATATACAAATAATTTAGGTAATATTATATAAATACATAGGGACGAACCCGAGCCAAGGGAGGGTGAGTCGCTGTATAACATAAAGCAAAAGAATTTCTTTTAGATTTAACGCGGGCAAAGCCGCGGGTTATCCTAGTAATCTTATAATATAAAGACATAGTTAAATATTCTTTTTTGTAAGCCCAAACATCCGCGTTGGATTTAAGGAAAAAATAGAGGTCATATCACATTTTGTACTTTATATACTGGAAGTTCCCATCACTTCTTAGTAACAGAATTTTATTAATATTTTAATGCAAAGAATTATTTATAATTCATATTATTTTCTATGCATATAATAAAATTCTGAGTCGAATTTATACATTAAATCAGGAAAATCTTATTGAAATAGTCATTATTATCGATACAGAGGCCGAATCTATAGTTTTTAGAATATTTGTCTGTCTGTCTGTCTGTCTGTCTGGGAACACATCAGGAGAAAACCACTGTATAGATTTTGATGAAATTTGGAATGATGATAGCTAGGTATCCGGATCAACATATAGGGCTTTTTACTGCGGGAAAATATCTCATCTCTGAGAAATCTATACACTAGTATATGTGATCTATGTCTATACTAACCATTAAAACGTTCCTAGGAACGTTCTTAGGAAGATTTCCTTTCGTTACAATATACATTATGTTCCAACGCAAACGTGTTTAGCGTCGGAATTAAAAGAGGCAATAACCTTAAAGTAAAGAAATTTCGATTCATATAGATTAGAGTACACTATTAGCTAAAATAAATTATTTTTAAAGTTATATTACATCAAATTAATTTATTTTGGAAGCAATAATCAATAAACAGATTAAATTAAATGACTCAAATATATTTAGTCGTATCATAATAAATTATTCTATAAAGGATTAATAAATAAAAACTTAAAAAATACATACTTTTCTTGCGTCATATTTATGTATATGTGCACTACACTTCAACTCATTCACTATCTGTTTACTATAACTATTTTTACAACACTACTCACTATCACTTCTTTACTGTAAACGGCGACGTTTGAATTATATCTGAATGACTGAGTGCTTGTACAAAATCAAGATTTTATTGAGTGTGGGGTGACCATGACGGTGTCGAGTGGTAATTGGTTTTTTATCCTTTTAAACGTGTATTTAATTAGATAATTATAATATAGTTAGATTTTTTAAGCTAGGACAGCAAGGGCTTAACTGTTATTGTTACAGGAAAACGTTCCTAGGAGACCATCTATAACTTTTTGAGATATTCTGAATTGTATTCACAGATTTTGGAAAAAATGTACAGTTAGCGAAAAAAATGCTATAATACCAAAAAAATAATAATTATGTCAATCGATCCTATTTTATGTAGATATCAAAAGACTATGGGACCATTTAAGGTATGAATACTAGAAATGATAAATCGCAAAAAACTTTTCCCATACATTTTATACGGAAAATCAACTCGAAATATTCTTTGTTGCCAAACGGTCCTATTTCTTGATGTGAGACCAAATGTTCCTCCAACAGTTTTACATATTAAAATACATCTAAAACATGCCTTACATCTACTTAAATTACTGTGTACGACTCACTTACTCATATAATTGTATATGAGTACAGATCGTTGTATAACATTAAAAGTGTCTATTTGCTTATAAAGAGATTAACAATTAATTAATTACTTTTTTTAATATGTATTGTGTAGTAAGTGACAAGTGGCATACTCTACCTGTAGTAATATAAGACACACGTGTCAAGATCTCATTAAATTTATAATAGTGTTAAAGTACTTAGCATGGCACACATCTGTACTAATTTCGTATATACAGTCTAAATATCTATCGTAAGATAAATAAATCCTCAAGATATATCCACTTCAAGACGACTCCCCAAAATGTTATCTACATTATACTGATTTATAATATTTATTTTTGACGACACGTTTGGCTCAGTTTTGTAGGGTTATTTGCTGTGTCAGCGGTCGCGGGCTCGAGTCCCGTTATGATGCCATTTATATGTGTGATGAGCACAAATGTTTGTACTCCAGTTATGGGTGTTTTTATTTATAATATGTATGTATATAAAGTTATATATGTGTAGTGTATCAACTATCTAGTATCCATAACACAAGCCTCGTAGCTTACGATGGAACTAGATGGTGCTGTGTGTTAATGTCTCAATATATTTATATTTATTTTATATCTTTAGAGTAAAATCACATAAATGACAACAGCGGTAGATAGCTGATTAAATGTTTAAATAACAAAATCTATGGTCACCAATCTCATAGACTAGGTAGATAAATTCTAAGAAAGTATGATTCAATGTCACGAGACTATAAATTGTACTGTTTGTTTTAATTTAAGCCGTAAGTTTATTACTCCTTAAAGTAATATTTTTATTGTAACGCTAAATTTACTTTCGTCAAATAAAAATATTAACATAGTAATGGAAATAACTAAATCTTATATCAAGTAAAAATATCTTGTTTTGTTCCTTTATTTAAATTTATTTTTGCGTATTTGTATGTCGAGCCGGTTTATTTAGGAGAAAATCACTCTCTAACCAACAAAATATCGATATAAAACACAATTCGTTCTATAGAGTTTCATTCTTTTGGCATACATATATCAAATCTATTATACTTCAAAAATCAAATAAAATCATTCCTACGTGTGTAAAAATATCTTCCAAAAAGAACATACGAGGAAGCGCTAAGATCGTAAACCAGGCAAGTTTAAAGTTGTTACGAACAGTGATTCGACAAAATCGCCGCGATCTACGCATAAACGACTGGGACATAAAATCAAATTATACTTTATCCAAATAGACTTTTACAAGCACTTTTGCAAGATTTTTACATTTTCAAAGTTTAAATTAAATGTCAGTATGTAAGTTAATAAGAAATCTACCACCGGCCCGGAAGACAGTTCTGCTGAGAATAGCCACCAACACAGCCTGTTTTTGGCTATATGCTAATTTTCCATCTTTAAGGGTCAATAAAAATATGTTTTTTTTATTTATTTATTAGCAATCTCTTATTGAGCTTTTATTCGTAATCATGAAATTGAGTGCACAATATGTTTGTCGCTTTTATACATATGTTCGCTTGAATATTTAATTTGAAAATTGAATTTGTGTGGCAATGAGATGATATTTAGTATATACTCGTACATACGTAATATGCGATATGGAAAATAAGGCTAATAAAGGTAACAATGGAAAGCTATAGGTAACTATGGATGCGTCTATCAAAAAATAAGTATATAGGATTAAAACCTGCATCTTGCGTCTTTAAAATGTTCATGTGTGAATCTCTATTCCAATATTATGGCTATAACGTGCATGCAAATTTTGCTAAAGTGAAACGTCTTGACGAATATTTACGTAAAATTTTATAAAGCCAGGACAAGTCACTCGTGAGAACATTTTAAAGTCGGAATTCTAGTAATACCTATTAGGTATCAAGTGCTTTGACCTATTGAGTAAAATCTAGACAGTGTATACACAAAGCGTAAAACATACCGATGTATGTTTATCATATTATCGAACATAATTTAGAGGTGGCACTTTAATTAAGTTAGTTGCTGGAGCTACACATAAATTGACGAGCGATTTATGTGAACCACGTAATTTACTGGCAAACCTGTTTGAATGCGTATCGAGGTTATTTGAAGGGTGTATCAAACTGACATCACCAGTTTTTTTTGGTTGCACCGACAAGACACGAATGAGTCATGTAGCAATACCTAATATTTATTAAAAATTTGTTAAATACTCGTTTTTACTATTTCCTGCTCTTGGGTTCAGGTCCGAGAAAAACTTTTTCTTCCTGTCCTTTTGAGGCTTAACGCCATCTAGGTTAGAATTTATTGTAAAAAATTAAGTTGGCTATTATCATAATTACATTGAGGCTTATTATCTTTTTGTATTAGTAAGGATAACTGTTACACATAGAGGTAAGGAAATACTGGTAGAAAAAGTATCCGAATTCCAAGACATGGTCTAAATATGTGTGCCACATTTTATCTCAATTCTTACTCCTTTCACAAACTTTCACATTTACGATATTAAAATGATAATTTATATTTAATATTGAATAAATAACTACTCAATAATATCTTTTTAAATAAGTGATAGTTTGTAACCTTGACTATATAATTGGATTTGGCTCGTTAGAGTTAGTAATTGCAACGTTTGGCACACATCGAAAATCAACACTTTACACTCCTTAGACTTCGACATGACACGAATATTTGACATTTTAAATGAAACTTTTTTTGGACATTTTGCCGGATTAGTTTTTATTTTTGATTCTTGATATTCCGAATATTTTGTTTTTTTTTTCCGTAATCATGGTTGCTTTAAAGCACTTAAAATTTCAGAAATCATAAATCTAAATAAAACCTCAAAAACTTTAAAAAAATGATGGGTGTTATGTGTCGGGGAAAAATCATAAATAAACGATGCTACAAAAAAATAGATTTAATCTTGTTAACACTAATTATTTTTTCTTGTGACTACAAGCGCGTTGTCATTACAACTTACTTAATATGGGTCCCTTTTGGCATTCCAGAAAAGCTAAAAACTTTTTGAAAAACATTTATTTTGGCTTATTATTTATATTGTTTATATTTTCTATTTTATTATATTAATTATATTATTTATATTGGCTGAGAAGAACTATTGAGAAAATCAATTACTATACCTCTTTTAAATTGCATAGTTATTACATTTTATTTATTAGATTTTGTTAAACAAAAACCGGTACGAAAATAGCTTTGACATAGTTAATTTACAATCTAATCAAAAACTGGTATTTATCTTAACTCTCGTTTGTATTTTGAATACAATTATCAAAAGGTACATTATATATAGTTTATTTTGAATTAAAACCTATTTGAATATTCAATATACTTCAACATTTCCAGCTACTTTACTGTTGTTTGGTGAAAGAAAGGGTATCGATAAGGCCTTATATTTCCGCCCCAGAGTAACTAAAAAAATTATGTCAAACGATTTGATATTTTCTTTACATATTCTGAAAGTAGATGTGTGCTTGATAATAAAATATATTTATAAGAGAAAAATAAATTACAGTTAATATTTCGTCTTGTGAGACGTTAAACTTTGGTCTAACTGGGATTTTCGTTCAAAATGAGGCATTTTGAGTATAATTACATCTTTTTTTATAAAGAATACAAGATGGAAGCACTGCGATTTTTAAGTATATTGTGTAGTAACATAAGAACATTAAAATAAAAGAAAGTGTTTCTTATATTACTTACCTAAATCCAATTGAAAATTTGTGGTCTCAATTGAAACATCATATCCTTAATGCCTATGATTCCGTCATCTTTTTTGAATGAATTATCGAATAAAATTCAAGAACAATAGACTAAAATTTCACTAGATAACTGTAAAAAATTAGTAAGCAGTATGAAAAATAGATTGGAAATAGTTAAGAAAGCTAGAGGTTTGTGGACAAAATATAAGAACTCCTTATACTTCGTCCATAAGCCTGCTTATGCTTCACGGTCCATTTTGCTACCAGAGAAATAACAGGATTAACTCGCATGGTACCCCGCCCATTAAAGTGGGCCACCTCCCGGTGTGTCCCATGGCCTCACGCCCGACTGGATTTCCGGTAGCTAACCTAACCCCACCATGACAAGGTAAAGAATATTTTAAAAATAATCCACTGGGATTATTTTTCAAAGACGTGTTAACCCGTATTTAGCTAGCGTGATAGAATATAAACTATCCCGCGTGTATTGAGAGCAGAGCCGTGTCATTTACAACATCAAAGTCATGAATCAATAATATTGTCTTTATTATTGTCTAATATTTAGTTAGACTTTAAATTAGAATATATATTATAAGATGTAACAGTTGTAGTGGTTCAACCTCTATATTTTATAGCACATTGATTTATTTACACTGTCGCCTGAAACTTTATCATTTTGTTAACTAAAATATAACACTCGTATTTTAATATTTACGTAAAAGTTTTTTATTCAATGAACGTTTATAATCTTTGTTTAAAACAATGCTTTGATAGTAAAGGAATTGCAAGTTTTTTTTTTTTCATTTAATAAAATAAAATAAATAGCCCTTTATCTTACTTTGAAAAAAAAAAACATTAATTGTACAATAATCAGAAATATATGAAATAGAATTATTAGAATACTAGCATTGCCCGCGGCTCCGCCCGCGTTCAGATGACCGAAAACCAAATTCTTAGGTTTTACATATTAGTATACTCTTAAATTACAGTTTTTGTATTTTTTCTCAGAAATTAGATATTTTCCCGCGGTAAAAATATCCTATATATTGACCCGGATAACCAGCTATCACCATACCAAATTTTATCAAAATCCCTACAGTGGTTTTTCTGTAATGCGGTAACAGACAGGCAGACAGACAAAAATTCTAAAAACTATAGATTCGGGCTCTGCATCGATAATAATGTCTATTTCAATAAGATTTTCCAAAAAATATTTAATGTACAGATTCGGCTTAGTTAGAATTTTATTATATGTATAGATTAATATTTTTTTAACCGATTAATAATAACTAGAACGTTTAACATAACGTTTTCTTTAATATTTTTTCCCATAGAATCTATTTATTTCTGAAGGTGAAAAGTAAAGGGCCTTAAGTCACATTTTATAAAGTATACAGTAGAGCTCATTAAAGATGAAAAACCCGAAATGAGATATTAAAATCGACCGTGTATAAAAAGTAAATAGCATATCGTTGTCAAATAAAAAGTATGATTATGATGGTTACTTAAGCTATTATATTGTAATATTTTTTAACAAATATAGTTCCTTAAGGCTGTATTATCGGACTTAAGGTTCTTTAACTTTGGAGTTTTACTAAATATCTTATAGTATATGGAAGTTACGTCACTCCTATATCAAAAATATATAGTATATTTAATTATTTTATAACTTAAAGTTATAGAAAAAAATTTGTATTAAAAAGTTTTAATGACCTTAGAAATTAAACAAAAATGTACATAATATTTTTTATTTAATTAAAACTAAAATCTTTGAACATTAAAATCTCTGCAGATACATAAATTGAAGTGTCTGTTTGTAATACAAAAATAACAGCTTTTTACTAAATACATGTCAAAGTATATACGGTACTAACAATTAGAAAACACATTTTTTTATATTTTTGTCTGTCTGTCTGTTGTTCTCGTGAATCTCCAAAACTGCTGGACCGATTTTGGAGGGCTTTCACTGGCATATAGCTGGTGTTATAAGGAGTAACTAGGCTAATTTTATTTTAGAAAAAGAATTAGGGTTCCGCAAAAAAAACGTTACTAGGGACGAACCCAAGTGAAGCGAGAGTAAGTCGCTAGTCTTCTGGTAAGTCACACGCTGTTCCATCGTGGGCTAAAGTAGTATAAAAGTTATGGAAAATGGGTGGGACCCATTGGAGAGCTTTCTGTAAATCCTGATATTTTTTTGTACTTATAGGTTTGTGGTCTAGTCGTATAGGCTGCAAAGTAGGCATAGCAAAATCTTCTAAGGGTCTCCTTCTATTTCTTATTAAGGAGACCCTTTCGAAGTCCTCCTGATTGAAAGAAGTTTTATAACTCATTGTGCCATAATCTTCTTTTTCAAATTTCATCCATACTATTTCAGAGTAAGGCACTGACTGACCCATATCTCCTTTTTTGCGGTGAATAAATGGCGCTGTAGGACCTTCTTGGATATTCAATATGTTTTTAAAATCTTCACTTGACTTATCAATAACTTCAATTGGTGCCTTATCTGAAGAACAGGACCGTATGAACTGGTGCCAGTCCCATGGGGTCATTATGGAAAATTGCGGTTGTCTCTTTTTTTTCTCTCAATAATAGAATGTACACCATCCACTTCCATATGAGTATAACCTTTCATAAGATATTTATGGTTAATGCATTGTAGGTTAGATATTTTCCATAATAACCATAAGTAACACATGATGATATGTATGTTTTTATTTTCTCCTGCACAATTATCGGACCAAATGGTAATTTCTCTTGTTGGCGTATTGCGGACGTTCTTCTCAAACCATTTGATTAAACCCGAAGATAATTCGTTTCCCCCACGCCCTGATATTGATTCGTTCCACATAATGCAGGTACTTTTGTTTGTGACACCATCTAGTATTGTATAGTTGAATGTCCACAACTTGCGTAAATAGAAACTAAGGCTGTTCGTTAGTAGAGGAGTAGGTAAACATTTCTGTAAGTCGACAGTGATCATCTCACAATCAGAATTTTCTCCACATTGAAATTTATCAAAAGCTTTTAAATTGTATCGAGTCTTTGCTTCTTGCACATGTTTTTCATAGTTTGCCTCTAAAGTTTCCTTCTCGGTACCTTGAGAACTACGTATTTGAACGACAAAACGATCACAATCATCACACGTGTCAGTATCTGGTGGCTTAAACCCTAAATTAAAATGAGTGTTAAAAATCTTTCTGTAGGTCCAAATTTTAGCAATTAACTTATTATCCACGTTATCTTTTCTGCACTCTTCTATATATAACTTATACATTAATTTTAAATCTATATGTGCCCCTAAATACTCACGTCCTGTCTTTTCTCTGCTGTAGTGGCTTTCATATTTGGGAAATGTTTCTATGTGCTTGATTTCATAGAATTGCTTGAAGAATCTTCACTTGTATTAGGAATGTAGTCATCATCATCATCTGAAGAATATAAGCCATGTGAAGTATAAAAAGGTTCGTCTATTATTGTGTTTTCCTTATCAGATGATTGAATGAATGCTAACAAAGAAGGTGAAAATGTATCCTGAACTTCGGGATTGTGTTTGGGAGTGTGGGCTATGATATCATCTTTAGGTTCTATTAAAATATTTTGATCTTCAGCAATTAATTTATCTGGCCATGTAGAGCATTGTGGTACAGCTAACTGTTGAACTCGTTCCGTTTCTATATCGACACCATCTTTAAAATAAAACATAAAAACTCATTACTATATTCAAAGCTACACACAACAACACAGTATTACTCATTTTCCTGAAGAGGTATGCCAAGGTGTGTCGTTAGATACACCCACGGCTTGCAATCTATATTAATTCGAACGGAGTCCATAATCATAATGCCGATGCGTGAGAAAACAATCCGGGTATTCCTAATTATATGACGGGAGTAGCCCGAAAACTATACTAAACCTAATCCAAAGTGGATTGACCCGGGATCTAACCTGCGACCTCTGCGTGGCAGCTTGTACACATTACCTACTACAGAACAATACTATCTCTAGGGTAAGCTTAATTATTCTAAGGTAAACTTTAACGCGCCCTCGCACAATATTCGACGCAATAAGTAGTAAAATCCAATCGTTCTAGTTTAATCTATTTAAGAATCGTTTAATAAAAGAACCTATAGCACTACATACCTACAAGAAAGTGAAATACATTAAATAATACATACACATTAGAAACTATTCTAATATCTGTCAAATATGAAATATAATATCCTCATAATTATGTTAACATTTGTATTTTCTCTTAAAAATAACAAAAAAATATTAAATAATGTTAATATATTTACGTACCTGATAATTTTATCATATCAACAAGCCTTCTTCCTCGTCCAGTATTCATATTTTTTAAAAGATTATTCTTTGTTGTCCCCACAACACAATACGCGTACGTTTAATTTTGCACGAAACAAAAACTAAATAATAAATATTATAAATTATTGCTTAACGGGAGAGAGTGCATGCGCAGGGTCGCGGGGCGGGGACCGTAGGTACGATAGCACCCGCGCAAATGTAACCCGCGCGTAATGGTAAAGAATAGTAAGTCCCACATACTAACGTTTAACATTTATCTAGGTTTATTGTTTAAATAGTAAAAGATATTAAGTAACCATACGATCATTCACTTTTTCACGCGTAGGGACTTGATGTTATTTATAATTTTATTTCTGTGAATTTAGTGACTGTAGGACTTAATGTCTTTTACCATTTAATCAATACGGGTATTCTGAATTAGAATCATAAAAAAATCAAAAATGTAAAAAAATGGACTTAAGGTCCTTTAGCTTTCATCTACAGATTTATTACCTTATCTCCACCGTGTCTTCTCCATTCTATACGACATTGGCGAAGTAATATGTATATGTGCCTAACTGGCACGCCTAAAAAGATTGAATTGAATTACTTTTGTTTCCGAAGTTGTGAATGTTTTACAGCAAACGTATCCCCTGTTATCTCATGTTTTCTCTAAGGCATTTTTAATGTCGGGAACAAGAATATCAAATAAAATAGGTAAAAAATCCGAAAATAAAAGATATTTTATTTAAGAAACCTTTCATCAATTATTCATATCGCCCTTGAACATGTACGGAGTACTACCCCAAGTTTTTATTTTTCACAATTGAACACATGACTTATACTAGACTAGCATTACCCGCGGCTCCGCCCGCGTTCAGATGACCTAGAACCAAATTCTTAGGTTTTACATATTTGTATACTCTTACATTGCATCATTTCCATACATTGTTTTTGTATTTTTTCTCAGAAATCAGATATTTTCCCGCGGTAAAAAGTATTCTATATGTTGACCTGGATAACCATCTATCATAATACCAAAATTCAGCAAAATTCCTCTAGTGGTTTTCCCGTGATGCGGTAACAGACAGACAGAGAGACAGACAGACAAAAATTCTAAAAACTATATATTCGGCCTCTGTATCAATATGCCTATTTCAATAAGACTTTACATAAAATATTTAATGTACAGATTCAGCTTAGTTACAATTTTATTATATGTATAGATTTCAGTTATTTAACATTTGTAAAGAGCTTTAGCTTTACTTTGATGAATCGAACTACTATCATTTTTATAAGTTTGTGCTCACACCCTTTCCACTTCACATTGCTATTTCCTACACCTAAAGGTTGCCTGGAAGTAATCGCTGTTTTAGCGATAAGGCCGCCTCTTGTACATTTTCCTGCCATTGTATTGTGAATGCCTTCTTTTTGTATGTACAATAACGATATATATATATATATACAGGGTCATTTTTAATTTACTGAAAACCTTTTGGGAATATAGTATTTACATACACTTACATTACGTATTGCGTATTTAAAATTGGACTTTACCAATTTGACCATTGCTGGGGGCCAAGAAAATCGGGTATATGAAACTTTTTTCAATTTATTAATTTAAGGCTAATTTTCAAACCCATATCGCCGAACCCCAGTTTGTATGGTTACTCGGTTTCTCCTTTGAACAGCATTTGTCAGGTCGACAGTATAAAATTATAATTAATACAATTCATGGAAATGTTTAATATTTTAACGACAACTCTAATTCTATGAAACATAGATGATGGATACTTGATTCAAATTCTGTAATACTATGGGTTTATAGGCCCTAAAATACTAGCATTAATAGCTTCATAATAACTTATATTTCGTAATAATCATAAACATTCATTATATTCTCCATTTCCCTAAATTTTTAATGATAATGAATGGTGGGTTTTAATGCTGCGTTTTATTTTGTTTATTCACTTGTTTATATACCGATTGTGAAATTAGCCTCTTTATTCAGAGTTGCAGGTTCTGTTCCCGGGTATAGCCATAATAAAATATAAAATATCGGTTTTTCTATTGTAACTCGTTTTCGGGCTTCATACAGGATATATCATTTATTGCTACCTATTGAAAATGTGAAAGGTTGTTTGTTGTTTTGTCCTTTTTGATCGACCTTTATTTAATAAGAAGGTATTCAGTTCAGTGATGAATATTGTTAATCATTTTGGTATATTAATTTGGATGAAGCATCTTCAAATCGTTTATGCTGTATTTGCCAATTTACGTTTCGTAGAAATTACACTAGCTTTGCCCGCGGCTCCGCCCGCGTTCAGGTGACCAAATACCAAATTTTTAGGTTTTACACATTAGTATACTCTTACATTGCAGTTTTTGTATTTTTATCTCAGAAATGAGATATTTTCCCGCGGTAAAAAGTATCCTATATGTTGATCCGAATAACCAGCTATCACCATACCAAATTTTATCAAAATCCCTCCAGTGGTTTTTCTGTGATACGGTAACAGACAGACAGAAAGACAGACAGACAGACAAATATTCTAAAAACTATAGATTCTCCTCTGGCCTCTGTATCGATAATAATGTTTATTTCAATAAAATTTTACAAAAAATATCTAATGTACAGATTCGGCTTGGTTACAATTTTATTATATGTACTATAGATTTGTCAACCCTACGAGTGTTTTTATTGATCTTCCTAATACACTCGAATAGTTTATTAACGAATGTTTATGGTGATGCTTTATTTGTACTTTTCTTTTTATAATGTCGATAAAAGCTTAGTCATTTATACCATAATAAAATATAACAGATTCTTCTGTTACACGATATCTTCGCCAATAATTGCGTTTTTATAGTTCATTTAAATGAACATGTCCCATATACATTTGTGAAGGATGGTGAAGGAAAACACCATGAGCAAATCTGCATATCCGATCGAACCTAACAAGTTTTGAAAGACATGTATGTGAAGTCCGCCCGCACTTAGCAAGCGTGGTGGACTATGGCCTGATTCCCCTCGTATTGCTCGTATTGAACGGAGGCCCGTGCCCAGCAGTGGGACTTTAAAAAGGGCTGATTACAATATATATATTTGTACCATAATATAGTTTTGAAAGTTTTGAAATCGATAAAGGAGTGAATTTTTACAACATATAAATTTTTTGCTTTAATACAAAAAATAAATTAGGTACCTTTATAAAGAATTTGAAACGTATACGTATGGTATTATAAGTTAGAGAAAATTAATTATATTAACGCCATTGTAATACACGTGTACTAAAAATTGAACTCAATACCTTGCATGACTTAATTCTCTATATTATTTCATTAGAAGATTGTAATATTATATACATAGTGTTATGTTAATAAACATATCAGCAAAATTCACGTAATGTGATCAGTTTGTAGTTCATTGCTCTTATTTATTTTATTCCTCGTGCTACCTTTAGGGCTATTCTGTAAGAACTATAATTTAGACCTAAATTCACATATTAATTAATTCATTAATTTTCTATAGATAATAATAATAGTTTGTTATATTTGCGAATATTTAAAATTTTAGAAAAAAAAAATATTCGTGTATTTTCGCGGTTAAAAATCCCAGTACCTATACTTGTCCTAAACCGGGTCTCGAACTTAGGTCCTCGGTGTCTCGGGCAATTAATCTATATCTATTTATATTTTTATAATATATATTTATTGAGGAAGGCTATATCATATAATATATTATAGTCTATCTATTCAATACTAACCGTTAAAACGTAGCTAGGGATGATTTCAGTCAGATATGTGTACGAAGAAGTTCAATATAAACAATTAAAAAAAACAGCTGTTTTATTAACAAATTGTTCATTTTTGCTGAGTCAAAATTTAATTTATTTTATTATTAATTAAAAGTACCCAGACAGCCCTTCTTAGTGAGCAAAGTTTTAATTTTCAGAATTATATTAGAACTTATGCCTACTTGCTAACTAGAAAACGGGTGGAATTGAAGCTGAAGCGTACTAATAGTACCTACATAATAAATATATATGTACATATGTACTGAGAAACTTAACTAATGTATTATAAAATAAAATAGCTAGTTTTTACATTTAACCAACCGTAATAAAAGGAAGGTAAGGAGGTTATATTTGTGGTCACCTTCATCATGATGGCCTCATGGTATATGGTTTGGTATATAATATTATATGGTAGTCATCTATACTAATATTATGAAGGGGCAGAGTTTGTATGTTTGTTTGTTTGTTTGTTTATTTGTTTGAACGCGCTAATCTAAGGAACTACTAATCCGATATGAAAAATTATTTTTGCTTTACATAGCCCATTTATTGAGGAAAGCTATAGGCTAATTTATCATCTCAGAAAAATGTACGGTTCCCGTGCGATAGATTTGTTTTTGTCTAGGGACAAACTCGAAGCGAAGCAAGAGTGAGTCGCTATATTATATAATTTCAAATTTGTCATTATATAAACGGCACCGTTATTTTAAAAATGCTTGCATGTTTGTAAAATGTCAAATGCAAATCGCAAAATGCTTCTGTACTTAATTAATTTTTCCGAAATATGTTACAAATAAATATATAAAATTTATATAGAGTCAACTTTTTTACAATATTTTTAGCTATTAACACAATACAATATTGCAGAATAAACAAGAAATGGTCGCAGTGATATTTTAAAGCTACAATAAAGAGATAAAAAAGGAAATGTAATATCATAACATATTGACGACACGTTTGGCTCAGTTTGTAGTGACCCTACTTATTAAACCAGTGGTCGCGGGTTCGAGTCCCGCTGGGGGCATTCATTTGTGTGATGAGCACGAATGTTTGTACTCTAGTTATGGGTGTTTATATTTATAATATGTATGTATTTAAAATTATATATGTATAGTGTATCAACTATCTGGTATCCATAACACAAGCCTCGTACCATGGAACTAGATGGTGCTGTGTATGAATATCCCAATATGTTTATTATTTATTTATTTATAACCGTTATAAAACCTATTCAAAAGCAATAAATTACTTT